GGCTGCCCAGGGAGGGTGTGGAGTCCCCTTCCTTGGAGATTTTCAAGACCCACCTGGATGCTCCTGAGTAACATGCTCTAGCTCTAGGCAATCCTGCTTCAGCAGGGGAGTTGGACTAGATGATCTCTATGGTCCCTTCCAACTCTAAAAAAATTCAGTGAAATTCAGTCTGTCTGTGTAGCCCATTTCACTGCAGTGTTGGGTTGATGCTCACCCGTGTGGAAGACAGCACATGTTCCAGCCACACAGACCAGTCCAGCCGGCCAGGGACAGGGGATTGGGAGCCAATCTGCTAAACGAGGATTTAGCCAAGAGGCAGCCCCGAGTGCCAGCCATCTCCTAATACTCTCTTAAGGAGCCTAGCACACACAGGCAGCTTCTGCCACCCTCCCTGGTCCTCCTCGCCACTCAGCTGGGTCCTCCGACTCGGCAGCAAGGCATTTCCAACCAGAATTACCTTTCAGCCGTCTTCTTGCTACAGTGCCTTTTAATTAGGAGCGCAGCTGCTCTGGAAACACGGAGCTCACTTTTCAAAGAGCGCTCTGGAAAGTGATTACAATGGATTAAAGCGGAAAGGTTAGGCAATTTATTCATCTGGCACTTAGCGAATGCAGCGGATTATTTTGTGCTGCAAGGATGATTTAAAAAAAAAACAAGTAACACCTTTTTGGCTCTTGCTAGTCCGACGGCGCTCTGCGGTTGGATGTGAAATGCTGTTGGAGAGTAGAACCTACGCAGTGTCCCACTGCTCCCACAGCTCCCAGCTCTGTGTGAGGGTGCTGGGGTTTCATTGCTGGTGTCCCTGGAGTGCCCCCAGTTAACGAAGGTCCAGTTCAGCCAGGAGTTGCTCCAATAATGAATGTGGACTCTCAGGGTTCACTAACCTCAGCTCCAAAGGGCTGCTCACCTGGGTGTTTGTTTGCAGAGTGATGCCTGGCACTGACTTCCCACCCTGAGCTCTTGCTGCCCTCTCCCCAGCTGACAGAGCTCCCTTTCTGAAAGGACTGGTTTGATTTTTGGCAGTGAGAACCCAAACAGCTCTACACAGGTAGGAGGCACTGGTCCGGCGGTGTTACTTGTGCTGGGAAAGCTTTGAGAGGTTTTACTGGGCTGTGGGAATGAACAGTCCCACCCCCAGAGCTGGGTGAACCCCCTCTTTCCCCTCTGGCCCAAGGCCATATGCTTGCTCTCTCTCCACTGCGTGGCTTAAGGGCTTAAAGCAGTGGAAAGGATAAAGCCCCTCGAAATTAATCAGCTTCATTTCAAAGCTGAGGTTCTATGAGAAGATCTCAATCCCTTTCTTCTCCAGAGGAAAAGTGGTGGGGTTCCCTGGCTGGACAGTATGCGATGAAGAGCCAACTTGCAGAGTGTGTGAACAATCTAAACCTGTAAAACATCTGGGGATCAAAACTTTGTGTGTGTTCCATGAGCAGAAGCTGGAACAGGCACCACATCCATCCCTGCACCAGGGGGATGCCACGGGGTTGTCTCATGGCAAGTAGCAGCTGGATGGGGCATCCCCAGGATGAACTGTCCCCACTGGCAGGGCTGCAGCAGCAATAAGAAATCAGAATTCTTTTCAAATGTTGTGTGCTTTTCCGCTGGGCAGCATTGGGTTGAACTCATCTTAAGCTTGGGAGAGCGGCTTGTTGACAGTTTCCAGAGTAGTGGTCAAAATATCAGGAACCAAATGGGCAGCTTTGGTCACTGAATACCCTTGGTGACCTGTTGGACCATGGACCTGTTGGAATGGGTCCAGGAGAGGGCCACAAAAATGATCAGGGGGCTGAAGAACCTCTTCTATGAAGACAGGCTGAGAGAGCTGGGGTTGTTCACCCTGGAGAAGAGAAGGCTCCGGGGAGACCTTATAATGGCCTTCCAGTCCCCTACAGGAGAGATGGGGAGGGACTCTTTAGCAGGGAGTAGAGCGACAGGGTGAGGGGCAATAGTTTTAAACTGAAAAAGGGGAAATTGAGATGAGATCTCAGGATGAAATTCCTTACTCTTGGGGAGGGACTCTTTAGCAGGGAGTGTAGCAATAGGGTGAGGGGCAAGGAAGAGGGGAGATTGAGATGAGATCTCAGGAAGAAATTCCTTACTCTGAGGGTGGTGAGATCCTGGCCCAGGTTGCCCAGAGAAGCTGTGGCTGCCCCATCCCTGGAGGGGTTCAAGGCCAGGTTGGAGGGGGCTTAGAGCAACCTGGTCTGGTGGGAGGTGTCCCTGCCCAGGGCAGGGGGGTTGGAACTCGATGATCTTTAGGTCCCTTCCAACTCCAACCATTCTATGACTCCATGACTGTGGCTTGGGCTTTGCTGTGCTTTGCTGAAGCGGGAAGAACTGGATGTGTGTCCTGGTTTGAGGTAAAACAGAACCAATTTTCTTTTCAGTAATTTTACTTTTTGGTTAAGCCTCTTCTAACTCTCTGAAATTAACAGCGTATTTTCCAGCCAGGATCTGCTTCTAATAGATAAGGTCTGATATTTATAGTTAGTACCAAGGGATGGTGCACAGAGAAGTGCTTCTACTTATTGCTATAACAACCAGGCTCAGCTCCGCACAGAGAGGTGCTTATACTTATTGCTATAACAACCAGGCTCAGTTCCGTTCGTTATTTGCCCCGTTGGAGGGTCAGAAGTGGAAAAGTGTGAAGGAATCACACCTGTGGGGAGGAGGGGACAGGAGAGGTGACCCCAAACTGACCGACGGGATGTTCCATCCCATCTGCCCCATGCTCAGTATAAAAGCTGGGGGATCAAAGGGTCAGCTCTTTCTCCCTCAGAGGAGAGGAGAGAAAATGAGAGAGACTTATGAGTTGGAAAGGAACCGAACTAATGAAGTATTAATAATAAAAGGAAAATATAATAATATTAATAAGAAAGTAATGAAATATGTACAACCTGTACCAAGCTCCCAGGATGACAGTCTGCCTTTGATCCTGATCTGTGTGTTCCTGAGTTCACCTCCCATCTGTCGCTGAGTCCAGTCTGGGACTTTCTCAGTGCCTGATGGTGATGTGATCATCATCCTGGGAGCTCAGTAAGGGCCGTGTATACTGTGTGTATTTCGTTATTTTCTTATTAATATTGTTACCTTTTTCTTTTGTTATTTTATTTCCCATATTTCGTTATAGTTTCTTTTCAACTCGTACGTCTCTCTCATTTTCTCTCCTCTCCTCTGCAGAGGAGAGGTAAAAGAGCATCCAGCACTGGTTGCAGTGACCAGCCCAGCCATGTGCTGGTCCCGTCAGGAGCTAGCACAGCGCAGGGGCAGCTCTGTCTGCATCTGCTCATGTTAACGTACTGGGTGTCTTCTCGTGGGATAAAAAAAGCTGCTCAGATACTGCGCTTGTGGTACCAGCAGTACTTTAAATAGAGGAGGCTTTCAGCAGGGTACCGAGCATTAAAATTGCATTTGAGTGCAGTTTTGAGTACCTTGCCTGCCCTGCTCTCATTTTGTTTGGCTGGCGGAGGCGTATTTTTGTTTTTACTCACTTTTCTGTCCTATATTATCCCCTTTTTTTTTTCCAGTGATGTTGACTCGTTCCATCTGCTTATTTATCACCCACAGTTAGAACCCAAATTCCAATTAGCAATCTGCTTTGTTTACTTTTGTTTAAAACACGGCGTTGAACGCCCCAACAAAGCTTTAATACATAAAACTACTTGTAATGCAGCTGTTAAAGCTCTTCCATCACATCCATGAACAAAATGAATTCTATTGCTATCAAGATGCATATGATAAATTAGGTTTAATCCTCCTCTACTGCAGCGGATAGAAGCACTTGGGCGAAGACAGGAAGATTTCAAATGACTGAGATGGAAAATTATCTTTGCTCCAGAGATGAGAAAGAAACTCAGACCTTGTGTAGTTGGAAATAATTCATCCAGCAACTGGAAAAGCCATCCCTGGATTTCTGACTTGGAATCGTGACGCCTTGCTGTTGGATGTTCAACAGGGCCGGGTGCTGGGTCCTGCCCTTGGGTCACACCAACCTCATGGAGCACTAAAGAACTGGGGCAGAGTGGCTGGAGCTGCCTGGCAGAAAAGGACCTGGGGGTGTTGGTCAACTGTTGGCTGAAGATGAGCCAGCAGTGTGCCCAGGTGGCCAAGAAGGCCACCAGCATCCTGGCCTGTATCAGGAACAGCGTGGGGAGGAGGACTCGGGAGGGGATTGTCCCCCTGGACTGGGCACTGGTTAGGCCCCACCTCAAGGGCTGTGTCCAGTTTTGGGCCCCTCACCACAAAAAAAGACATTGAGGGGCTGGAGCAGGTCCAGAGAAGGGCAACGGAGCTGGTGAGGGGTCTGGAGAACAAGTCTTGTGAGGAGAAGCTGAGGGAGCTGGGGGTGTTCAGCCTGGAGAAAAGGAGGCTGAGGGGAGGCCTTATTGCTCTCTCCAACTCCCTGAAAGGAGGGTGTAGCCAGGGGGGGTTGGTCCCTGCTCCCAAGGAACAGGCCATGGGACAAGAGGAAATGGCCTCAAGTTGTGCCAGGGGAGGTTCAGATTGGATATTTGGAAAAATGTTTCCACGGAAAGGGTTCTTAAGCCTTGGAATGGGCTGCCCAGGGAAGGGGTTGAGGCCCCATCCCTGAAGGTATTTACAGGGCCAGTTGACATAGTGCTTGGAGACATGGCTTAGTGATGGGTTATTTTTTTTTTATCAGAGTGAGGTTGATGGTTGGACTGGATGATCTTAAAGGTCCCTTCCAACCCAGACAGTGCCTGCCTCACCCCAGGCCCTGCTCCCCTGAGGCGGCCGCAGGCCTCACTCCTGCCATGAGCTGCGCGCAGGCCTCAGCCCGGGATACAGCCCCGTCGCACCGGTACCGCCCCCTTCCCGGTGTGTGTCTGTGTGTTAATGAGGGGCCGCGCTAATTGCTGGGCGAGGGGGCGTGGCCACGGCTAATTGCCGGGGGTGGGTGTGGCGGGAGGGGCGGGGCCCGCTCTGTATAACCCGTCTCCCGGCAACGGCGGGAACGTCACTTCCTGGGGAGCCGCCGGCGAGCGGGCGGGCAGGTGTGAGCGGCACCGGCCGGGGGGGACCGGCACCGCGGGGTCGGGGGGTCTCCGGTCGGGACCGGTTCCGACCGGTTCGGGCCGGTTCCCCTCCCTCCCCGCCCGGCGCGGCGCGATGAGCGCGGAGCTGGACGGCGTGTCGGTGCACTCCTCCTCCTCCTCCTCGGGTTCGCTGGGGTCGGTGGCGGCGGCGGTGGGGCCGGTCCCGGTGCCGGTGCCCCGGCCGCTGTCGGCTAACGTGAGGCGGCTGCACCAAGCGTTGACGGCGCTGCTGAGCGAGTCGGAACGGGAGCGCTTCATCCTCTGCCTCAACGCCTACCACGGCCGCCGCAACGTCTGCGACCTCGTCCGCTCCCTCCGAGCCCTCCTCGACGGGCCCCGCCGCCGCCAGCTCCTGCCGCTCCTCCGCCTCGTCCTGCCCCGCTCTGACCAGCTCCTCTTCGACCAGTACACCGCCGAGGGGTCCTACCTGCCCCCTCCACCCCCCCTCCTCCCTCCGGCCCCCGCCCCGCCGCCGGTGGTCCCCGGGGAGCTGCGGCAGGTGACCCTCCGGCGGAGCAAAGCCCACGAGGGGCTGGGCTTCAGCATCCGCGGCGGGGCCGAGCACGGCGTGGGGATCTACGTCTCCTTGGTGGAACCGGGCTCCCTGGCCGAACGGGAGGGGCTGAGGGTCGGCGATCAGATCCTGGGTGTCAACGGCAAGTCCTTGGACAGGGTGACCCACCTTTTTTTTTTCCAGTGATGTTGACTCGTTCCATCTGCTTATTTATCACCCACAGTTAGAACCCAAATTCCAATTAGCAATCTGCTTTGTTTACTTTTGTTTAAAACACGGCGTTGAACGCCCCAACAAAGCTTTAATACATAAAACTACTTGTAATGCAGCTGTTAAAGCTCTTCCATCACATCCATGAACAAAATGAATTCTATTGCTATCAAGATGCATATGATAAATTAGGTTTAATCCTCCTCTACTGCAGCGGATAGAAGCACTTGGGCGAAGACAGGAAGATTTCAAATGACTGAGATGGAAAATTATCTTTGCTCCAGAGATGAGAAAGAAACTCAGACCTTGTGTAGTTGGAAATAATTCATCCAGCAACTGGAAAAGCCATCCCTGGATTTCTGACTTGGAATCGTGACGCCTTGCTGTTGGATGTTCAACAGGGCCGGGTGCTGGGTCCTGCCCTTGGGTCACACCAACCTCATGGAGCACTAAAGAACTGGGGCAGAGTGGCTGGAGCTGCCTGGCAGAAAAGGACCTGGGGGTGTTGGTCAACTGTTGGCTGAAGATGAGCCAGCAGTGTGCCCAGGTGGCCAAGAAGGCCACCAGCATCCTGGCCTGTATCAGGAACAGCGTGGGGAGGAGGACTCGGGAGGGGATTGTCCCCCTGGACTGGGCACTGGTTAGGCCCCACCTCAAGGGCTGTGTCCAGTTTTGGGCCCCTCACCACAAAAAAAGACATTGAGGGGCTGGAGCAGGTCCAGAGAAGGGCAACGGAGCTGGTGAGGGGTCTGGAGAACAAGTCTTGTGAGGAGAAGCTGAGGGAGCTGGGGGTGTTCAGCCTGGAGAAAAGGAGGCTGAGGGGAGGCCTTATTGCTCTCTCCAACTCCCTGAAAGGAGGGTGTAGCCAGGGGGGGTTGGTCCCTGCTCCCAAGGAACAGGCCATGGGACAAGAGGAAATGGCCTCAAGTTGTGCCAGGGGAGGTTCAGATTGGATATTTGGAAAAATGTTTCCACGGAAAGGGTTCTTAAGCCTTGGAATGGGCTGCCCAGGGAAGGGGTTGAGGCCCCATCCCTGAAGGTATTTACAGGGCCAGTTGACATAGTGCTTGGAGACATGGCTTAGTGATGGGTTATTTTTTTTTTATCAGAGTGAGGTTGATGGTTGGACTGGATGATCTTAAAGGTCCCTTCCAACCCAGACAGTGCCTGCCTCACCCCAGGCCCTGCTCCCCTGAGGCGGCCGCAGGCCTCACTCCTGCCATGAGCTGCGCGCAGGCCTCAGCCCGGGATACAGCCCCGTCGCACCGGTACCGCCCCCTTCCCGGTGTGTGTCTGTGTGTTAATGAGGGGCCGCGCTAATTGCTGGGCGAGGGGGCGTGGCCACGGCTAATTGCCGGGGGTGGGTGTGGCGGGAGGGGCGGGGCCCGCTCTGTATAACCCGTCTCCCGGCAACGGCGGGAACGTCACTTCCTGGGGAGCCGCCGGCGAGCGGGCGGGCAGGTGTGAGCGGCACCGGCCGGGGGGGACCGGCACCGCGGGGTCGGGGGGTCTCCGGTCGGGACCGGTTCCGACCGGTTCGGGCCGGTTCCCCTCCCTCCCCGCCCGGCGCGGCGCGATGAGCGCGGAGCTGGACGGCGTGTCGGTGCACTCCTCCTCCTCCTCCTCGGGTTCGCTGGGGTCGGTGGCGGCGGCGGTGGGGCCGGTCCCGGTGCCGGTGCCCCGGCCGCTGTCGGCTAACGTGAGGCGGCTGCACCAAGCGTTGACGGCGCTGCTGAGCGAGTCGGAACGGGAGCGCTTCATCCTCTGCCTCAACGCCTACCACGGCCGCCGCAACGTCTGCGACCTCGTCCGCTCCCTCCGAGCCCTCCTCGACGGGCCCCGCCGCCGCCAGCTCCTGCCGCTCCTCCGCCTCGTCCTGCCCCGCTCTGACCAGCTCCTCTTCGACCAGTACACCGCCGAGGGGTCCTACCTGCCCCCTCCGCCCCCCCTCCTCCCTCCGGCCCCCGCCCCGCCGCCGGTGGTCCCCGGGGAGCTGCGGCAGGTGACCCTCCGGCGGAGCAAAGCCCACGAGGGGCTGGGCTTCAGCATCCGCGGCGGGGCCGAGCACGGCGTGGGGATCTACGTCTCCTTGGTGGAACCGGGCTCCCTGGCCGAACGGGAGGGGCTGAGGGTCGGCGATCAGATCCTGGGTGTCAACGGCAAGTCCTTGGACAGGGTGACCCACGCCGAGGCTGTCAAGGTACACCGGGTGCCCTGCGTCCCGTCCCGGCGGCTTGGTCGCCGTGCGCCCCGTCCAGGGTTCCGTGTATCCCCGGTGTGTCCGTCCCCTTCCCTCCCTTCCCCCGGTGCTGTCACCGTGCGCCCCGTCCTGCTTCACCCGCGCCGGTTTCAATCGCCGCTCCGTCCCGCTGCAGCCGCCCTCCCTCCCCGCCCGGCGCGGCGCGATGAGCGCGGAGCTGGACGGCGTGTCGGTGCACTCCTCCTCCTCCTCCTCGGGTTCGCTGGGGTCGGTGGCGGCGGCGGTGGGGCCGGTCCCGGTGCCGGTGCCCCGGCCGCTGTCGGCTAACGTGAGGCGGCTGCACCAAGCGTTGACGGCGCTGCTGAGCGAGTCGGAACGGGAGCGCTTCATCCTCTGCCTCAACGCCTACCACGGCCGCCGCAACGTCTGCGACCTCGTCCGCTCCCTCCGAGCCCTCCTCGACGGGCCCCGCCGCCGCCAGCTCCTGCCGCTCCTCCGCCTCGTCCTGCCCCGCTCTGACCAGCTCCTCTTCGACCAGTACACCGCCGAGGGGTCCTACCTGCCCCCTCCGCCCCCCCTCCTCCCTCCGGCCCCCGCCCCGCCGCCGGTGGTCCCCGGGGAGCTGCGGCAGGTGACCCTCCGGCGGAGCAAAGCCCACGAGGGGCTGGGCTTCAGCATCCGCGGCGGGGCCGAGCACGGCGTGGGGATCTACGTCTCCTTGGTGGAACCGGGCTCCCTGGCCGAACGGGAGGGGCTGAGGGTCGGCGATCAGATCCTGGGTGTCAACGGCAAGTCCTTGGACAGGGTGACCCACGCCGAGGCTGTCAAGGTACACCGGGTGCCGTGCGGCTTGGTCGCCGTGCGCCCCGTCCAGGGTTCCGTGTATCCCCGGTGTGTCCGTCCCCTTCCCTCCCTTCCCCCGGTGCTGTCACCGTGCGCCCCGTCCTGCTTCACCCCCACCGGCTTCGGTCGCCGCTCCGTCCCGCTGCAGCCGGTTGGACGGGAGCCCCCGGAGACGTGTGTCCTCCCCCCCTTCCCTCTCGGTGGAATCCCGCATCCTTGGCTGCAGGGAGCGGAGCGGTTCCCGGTTTGCGGGTGCCGGAGGGGATCGTGCCGGTCGTTCCCGGGCATCGAGAGTGCGGGAAACGCGCCGAGGCTGTCAAGGTACACCGGGTGCCGTGCGGCTTGGTCGCCGTGCGCCCCGTCCAGGGTTCCGTGTATCCCCGGTGTGTCCGTCCCCTTCCCTCCCTTCCCCCGGTGCTGTCACCGTGCGCCCCGTCCTGCTTCACCCCCACCGGCTTCGGTCGCCGCTCCGTCCCGCTGCAGCCGGTTGGACGGGAGCCCCCGGAGACGTGTGTCCTCCCCCCCTTCCCTCTCGGTGGAATCCCGCATCCTTGGCTGCAGGGAGCGGAGCGGTTCCCGGTTTGCGGGTGCCGGAGGGGATCGTGCCGGTCGTTCCCGGGCATCGAGAGTGCGGGAAACGCAGCCGGAAAGTTTTAGGGTGAAAAAAAATCCCCGGTGCCCGCCGCCGGCACGGGCAGTAACCGGTTGGTTGCCGGGGGCCAGCCTGGCATCGTCTGCAGTTCTCGGCACGGCAGGGTCGACCCCGTCCGTCCCCAGAGCCTAAAGCCGTGGTTTTTAATCCCATCTTTGAAACGTAGCGATGCTGCTTGTGCCTTCCTTACCGTCTGGGAGGCGCGTGGAAGTGAGAAATCAGCTTGAGATGGGTTTTAAGGCATGTACTGTAGCCGTTAGACCGTGTTTTCTTCTCCCAAAGGTGGGGAAACTGAGGCACGGAGAAGCAGAATGACCTCCCCCCAGGGTTGCGTAGAGCCCAGAGCAGGAGCAGCCCCCAAATTCCCCCCAGGCTGTGTCAGGAGGGGAAGGAGAACAGTTACACAACTCAAGTGTGGCCGGCTCTTCCCGCAGCACAGCGTGTTTCCCCACACCCCGGAGACCTGTTGTGGTACATCACAGCACGGGGTGCTATCGATAGAAGCTTCCATGTAAAGAGAGGTGGGGGAGCTCCGTAAACCGGGGGATTTTCACCTGAAGCTTCTTGTTTTGACGCAAAGTCGCTGTTTAAGGGACCCGGGTCATTCCCAGAGGTGATCTTGTGGTTGGTGGGCTCAGCTCGGAGCGTTCCTGTGGCACAGCGATGTCAGGCACAAACCTTCTGAGCTGGAGAATCCGACTTCCAGGGCAGCAATTTGTAGGCGGTGCGTGGAGAACGGGGATCTGGGGGTGACAAGACTGTTTTGCAGCTCTTTGTACTTTAATTCTTCCATAATAAGCTAAAGCACTTCTACTCGCAGCCTGCCTTGTGCGGTGTGTTCCTCCGATAGTGCGTTCATGGTTTTGAAGAGCATCTTCAAAGCCAACCTTCCTGCTCCCTGCCCCGTCTTTAAATCTTTGCCCCAGGCAAGGGCATGTCTTCCAGGCTGGAAATGAGTCCTCAGTGATCTTGAGACCAGGGAAAAGATTTGTAGGAGTTCTTTTTATTGTTCCTAATGATAGGGCAACAATGCTGTAAGCTTTTGGATGTTAATTTGCAATTTTGTGCCCTGAAGATTGCCAAAACCCTATATTTTGGCTACGAAGTTGGGATGGGTAGAAGCCCCAGGTGTCAGGAATTCTCTGGACTGTTCAGTGACTTCATCTCCAATTCAGCCCACTCTCCTGGGTAATTCCCATCACTTTCTGTTTGTTCTTTAATATAATGTACATGGTGTCTTTCAGACACTGTTAATACTGAGTGAAGCCAAGTGCTCCCTGCACCGAAATAACCCCTGTAGGATCCAGTTTGCCGAGGGGTTGTTCTGTGACAAGGGCTAGATTTTGTTCATGTGATCCTGATAGGAAAGAGGAGCTCAGAAATTGTCTGCTTTTGAGCTGGACTTCTTTAAACAGCGGTTTCATCCCCCACCCAGTGGTGCTGGCATCTTCTAGAGCCCCTGTGCTCTTATTAGATCTGGGAAGGGGCTTGTGACCCGTGTAGGGGTGGTAGACACACTCTCCCCGGGGAAGTGTCGCAGGGTGATTCACAGTGTGAGAGCTCCTTTGGAGATTTTACAATTAAGCAAGTGCTAATTTGTCCTTGGGTGCTGCATTTGGGAGGGGGGGAGATGAGCAGGTCACATGCAGCAATGCTGAAGGGCAGTCTTCGGAGGATTTTCTCTGGGGCGAAGATGCAAACACCTCAGCCTAATGTTTTGAACGTCGTGCAGGGTGTCAGAGCTGCAGGGATGAGAAGGGGTGATGTACAGGGTGGGGGTGATGTGCAGGGTGGCTTTGAACGTCGTGCAGGGTGTCAGAGCTGCAGGGACATAGAGGGGGTGATGGACAGGGTGGGTTGACCCCATGTTCTCTGCTTCCCCTTGAAACCCAGGATTCAGGGCTCAGCTGTGATGTGTCAACAGCTCTGCAGAGGTCTCTGGTCTGGTCTCCTCCAGCAGAGCAAACCTTGTGGTGTCCTGCCGTCCTCACTGATGCTCTGTAGTGGATCGATGGAGAGAGAAACGCTGGATAAACAGGCTTGTGTTTGGTCCTGGAATTTCTGTGTACACTGTACTTGGGATCAAATAGAGGGGGGGGGAAAGGTGAGCAGAGAGAGTCTTAATACACCCCCACGGAAGCTCAGTCTCCCAAACGCTGTCTCCCTGTGTTTAGATGGGTTAGATGTGGTGAACTCTGATTAAAGCCCAGCTCCCGTTCGCAGTGATGGGCTGACTCTCCATCTGTCTGAGCAGGAGCACTTCCATCTCGACTGTCCTGCAGCAAGAAGCTGTCTGTCTGGGCCGGGCTCGTTATTCCTAACGGGCAGAACGTGGTGTTGTGAGAGAAGTTGTCAAAGCTGGATCTTCAGGGCGTAAGACGATGGTGGAGATGGGGGAGGCTCTTCTGCTGCTGCCCTGGCCTGCTCCCAGGCACATCGCTCTCTGGGGTGAGGATGACAAACTTACTGAACCAGAAATCAACTTTTCTGGCTGTCAGGGTGCTCGGAGATGCCCAGCTGTGAACACGAGCGGCTGCTCAGATGGAGGAGTGAATAAATACATCATCTTAACTTGTTTGGGCAGTCTTAGAAGAGCATTCATGCCGTAGTTACATTCATTTTACAAATAGTGATAGCTCAGTTGCCTTATTTCATGTCTGGCCAGGCAGGAGGACCCCGGCCGTTTCAGTGCTCCTCTCGGGGAGGAGAAGGCACCACCTGTGGGGTGGGAGCAATTTCTGTCTCCTGTCTGGTATTTTCAGGCATCGCTCAGAGCCACGATGTACCAGAAGTGGAATTGTGGCACCAAATTAAAACTGGGTGAAGAAGACAAAAGCAATGAGCTGCACAGTGTCCCAGCTGAGAACTGACTGGTGGCCTGTGACCAGTGCTGTGGGGTTTGTGGGGTATTGTCGTGGAAATTAGTTAAAGAGTAGAATTCTGACTTAAATGACAAGATTACCTAAGCACTCCAGATCAATTCACTTAATGACCAGCTGCTTAACCTTTATATGAGCAGCGAAGTTTTATGTCGTGTCTGCTTCATGCTCTCTGTTTCATCCAAATCAAAATTAAATGACTCCATTACGATTATAGCTCGATCATTCCAGCATTTGAGAGTTCACTTTAGCAAAAGATCACCCTAATTTGAATTATGGTGTAAGGGGAGAAGTTTGTATTGTCTCTGATATTTTTAGGGCTTGCTTGGCTTTCATCAGCTCTATAGTACAGGCTTGATTTTGTAGCAGTCGTGCTGAAAGTTTGTATTGATAAAATGTAATATTTTTTTGCCCTGGTGGACAACAGGACGCCCATGAGCCAGCAATGGGCCCTTGTGATCAAGAAGGCCAGTGGCATCCTGGGGGCCATCAAGAAGAGTGTGAGCAGCAGGTGGATGGAGGTCATCCTGCCCCTCTGCTCTGCCCTGGGGAGGCCCCATCTGGAGCATTGGGTCCAGTTCTGGGCTCCCCAGTTCCAGAAGGACAGGGAACTGCTGGAGAGGGTA